ATATATATATATTAGCATACATATAACGTTTTTAATAGATATATAGTAATTAATTATGTGTGTATGTATGTATATGTATATGTACATGGTACAAACAGTAAATCTGCCATTAAAATGAACAACAACAGCAACAACAACAAGAATCACACGTTTTCCATTTGGAGAGTGAGCGAATGTACTACAACAAATAGATCAATTGAGTGTACGCAATAAATGTTTACGAGGCCAGTGGTATATTATGACGTAAATAAGTATAATATATATACTATATATGTATATGTATATGTATAATCTAATCTAATTTAACTGTAATTAAAACCCAAATGTATTTAGAGCTACAACAACTCAATACCCACACACGCACACGCCCACACACACACACATACACAAACACGGCCAAGCAAAGGTAAAACTTGTAGCAATTTTTAAGGTTGTAATTTGCTTATTGTCTACATCAGCTACGATTAGTGTAAATAAGTATTAAAAATAATATTGAATCCAGTCCTGAACTTCAATACTCAAACGAACGCGACTGCAGGATGTAGGATATAGTCTATAGGATAATGCAATATTTATAGAGGCGCCGATCCGGTGCCGAAATAATGTTTTGCCGCCTGCGTTGTAGAAGTTGAATCCCTCTCTTCTTTTCTTACAAATAGATGGCATACGCATAGCCCTTAGTTATATATCGTTCGTTAGAGATTTCTGAATGTATAAGTACGTATTACGAGTAGACACATTTATTCGATATTTAGCCAAATAATTGCATAAGTAGAAACTTGGAAGCGACAGCTAAAGCAAACCCACCACAAAGTATCTTCACACAGTTTGTTGTGGGCCTCGGAAGCCGCTTAAAGACTCTTCTCAGCCAGTTACTTATTTTTATACATACATACAATATATAAACATACATATATGTTAGCACAAGCAATCTTGTATACAGACAAACAATAGCAAATCTAATTTCAGCTGATCAACTTTTGTTGTGTGCATTTTCTCTACAGACTCAACACTGTACACAGTTTCCCTTTCGTTTTCCACTGAATACTTTTTATGTTCGCATGGAAGAATGAGAAATTATTTAAAGTAAATGCCTTCAAAGCTTAGATCTTAAGTCACAAAAGGAATATACCATAAATAACAAATATGAACTTAGCGAACATTAGACATGTAATCGGTACTTTGCTGCTTTATAAAAAAAAAGTTTCCTACAGATAAAAAAAAAAGAAAAGAAAAAGCCATATTTCAAATAAGAAAAGAGTTAAATAATAATAATATTAAGCTAGGTTGTAATTTCTAGTCGAAGTGGCGAATTTATCTCTCTATTATTTATTGTTTCATCATCTATTGTATACATATATTATTTAGTTTTATGTTTAATCTTTTGCACTTTCTATTGATTAAATACTGTAATCTGTTATTTCAATGTGATTTGGGTGCATTTTTATTTTTTAATTAGTCGAAACGCAAACAAAGTAGATATGACAATCTGTGAAATGTATTCTCTGCTATATTCACTTTCCTCTTATTTCGAAAAAAAAAGAAAACAAAAAATATATATACATACATATATATAAATACAAAGCAAAGCAAACCAAAAACTGCAATCTCAGCGGCGCCAGCAGCACTTTTTTCGAATACTCTGCGTTGTGATTGTTCATTAAGTGTATAAGAATGTATTATAACTATTTATGCAGTACACAGATATCCATATTCGATTGCTGTGTATTTGTCAACTATATAAGACCTGTATATAAACACCTAACGAAAGCTGGATCTGCACGCCACAGACTTATTTTTAGCTCAACAACTCAACAACTCGAAAGCTCAAACTCAACAAGTGAATATACAATATAAAACTCGGATTAGTTAAGATTCAAGTGTACTAATTGAGAAGTGTGTGTATAACACCTATACTACACTACTTACATATGTACAAGCATCAATTTCTAACAATAATTTTACTATACAAATTACATGCATGGCGCGAAGCTTCTTATATGGAGTTTACCATAGGCGCAAGTATCTAAAAACCAGAAGAAAAAAGAAAAAAACTTCGAATAAAATCTTTCTTTATTGATAAACGATTGATAATAGCTCTTAGACATATCAATTTAATTTAAAATACAAACAAAAAATAATATAAAAACATAAGTGAAACATTCAATATATATATACAAATATAGAAAACAGACACAGAGAACATTATGTACATTTCTATAGATGTATTCCTGTTTAGCTCATAAGTGTAATAGAAAAGTTTTAGGCTAAATGCCAGCAATGCAAATATATAGAATATATATGAAACTTCATTGGGCAAACGAGTATAAGGGCTTGACGATGAATCCATAAATAATCGAGCAGCATTTGGAGGATATAGCCAAAAACATTCGCCCAAAACTTAAAATAAAAACGTAATAATGCAATTGATTTTTAGTTCAAACCAATAAAAAAAACAATAAACTTTTATTTTTACTCAGAACGACTATATTTGTCATTTTAATTTCTGCTTAGGATCCATTTTTTCTTTTTTTTTAAATAAAACCTAATCTAATATTTTTTGCGTTTGCTCGAATTAGATAAATCGTAAACACTTTAAACGATTACTCTTAAGGCGGAGAAAGAAAGTCGGGTAGAGGCAAAGCTCCAGCTCTTTGCCGAGGATTGCCGATCCAATCCAAAAATATTATAAATATAAAAAAAGATGAAGTAACCATATAATATATATATATAAGTAAACCAAGAACTCTCAGATGTAAGTTTTAACTGTAATATGCAGAAATCTTTTATAAAAGAAAACTAAACTGTTACTTTATGGCATTAGCTTAAATGCTATAATAACCTCTTGTTGAACGTAAATTGTACTTAGCAAGTAAATTTTCTGAAATGCAGACATGTATACACTCTTTCACACACACACATATACATATATATATATATATTTATATTATACTAATATACGATATTATTGAGATGGTAAGAAATATTTTATGGTACATGCATATGACATACATCATATGGGTGGGTACAAATGCATGAATGTAAACATACATAAATGTTTTCATGGTTGTAACTGATGATCAAAATAGGTGTAAATTGAAATTGAAATTGAAACTGAAAACAAATTGGAAGTTGAAATTGAAATGAATGGCAAACGGATTTTACGTACGTGCTATCATTTAAAAGATGTATGTAAAACTGCTTTAACTATGCTTTACAATTTTTACAAATGTAAATGTTTTTTGTCACATAACTTATGCATTTTTTTCAACGAATCTAAATCGAAAACCGATCCGAATCGAAATCGATATCGAAAACGATATAGCTTTTTAGTTACTGAACACGTATTTGAATACGATATTTGATTGTTTCTTATACACATGCTTACAATATTCTTTACTATATTATTAAATTCAATGTCAAATTGAATAACGTAAAGATATTTGAGAATCATGAATATTCCCTCCAAAAATAATTTTTAAAATTATGTATTTTGCTAAAGTCACAATCGTTCGACTATGGCTGCATCTCTGATAATTATAATGGAACGACAAGTTTTTAGCATATTAAAGCATATTGTATTTAGCTGATGTTACCAGTTATATTTAACATTAACATTAAAATACTTATGATTATTATGATTATTGTGTATTGTATGTGTATGTGTAACGTACAATGTTGTGTACATGTAAACTTCTTGAAAACGAAAAAAAAACTCACAACACAGAAAAAAAAACAACAAAAAAAAGAAACGAAAAAAAAAAAAAAAAAAAACTATAAAAAACGTGTGGCTCTTGCCATTAAATTGTAGTCAATTCTTCGAATGTATTAGACTAAGTGAGAAAACAAAATGAATATAAGAAACGTATGCATTACATTGCAAGCAAATTGTACCGAAAATGATGATGATATATGGACACTATTTTCTAAAAATATTACAACAATAATTTATTGATTTGTTGGCAATTTTATAAATACATACAAACATATGTATACACGTACATACATATTATACAGTTACTTTTGTTAGCTAGCCAAAAACAACGACGACAACTTAGGTAGCGCTGAGGTAGTTAAACTTTATGAATGTTGTACCCGGTACACCCACTAGCATGAGACAAAGAGAGAGTGAGATCTGTACAGAACCCTGCCTCACAGAAGAACGACGATAATTACCGTTACCTACCTACTAGTTAGCAATGATGTCCGCTGTCTCCTTAGACAAATACACACACCTCCACATATAGAACAGACTCCGACACAGACAGACAGACACAACACCTACACCCACTCTCTTACACTTTGTTGTATTCGTTGTACTCTGCCATTTTTTGGTGTGATATTCTATTGGTTGTGCGACTGCTTTAAGGTCGTTATACACATTGTTGCATTTCTACAAACAAAAACGAAACAGAAATTTGCAATGAGTTCAACTTCAATTTCCTGACGTTGCTTTAGTTGTACAAATTTATATATTAGGTGTTTATTTATCTATATGTTTTTACTCCTATAGAAACAAAACTGTAACTATTTGTTAACTATTTTAGTCCATATGTTACATACCTTTAGGTTTAAGTC